AATCTCCATCTCTTTAGAAATTTTCTCACCCACAGTTGGCTAATCTTTTTAAGCTTTTTATATGGCTTTTTTAAGTCCTTGTAGTCATCTTGTAGGCCTCCTTTTAGTGAAGGATCAACTACCTATTTTATTAAAGTGGTCCACCCTCTGCCCAATAGCTTAGCTCGATCCTAATAGCAAGAGGTTTCCCTCTATGATGATGGCAAAAATAGCCATGGCTTTTATTTTCAATAGGCCATATTAAGTAAGCATAAAATCTTTTATCAAGAGTCTTCTTAAGTATCACCTAGGATGTAATTGACAACGAGAATATGTCATTATTGGAGATCTCTTTGAGCCCAAAATAAAATAAATTATATTTTTTCCTCTAGCTTGGAAAAGACTTCTATATAAGGTTTTTCTCATATATTTTCTTTGGTTGAGTACGATCATATTCATTTTAGACCACTCTTTCCTAGTTCATATTATAAGGACTATCTTATAGGATATCATTGCTTATGTCCATATTTTCATTATATGTCTTTATTTTCTTCTTTATATTTGCCCATTTTCATTTTTTATTTTTTGTCACTCTTTCTCTTATGGCTATAGGTTGTTTTAAAAAAGAGTTCTAAAAGGGCCAATTATGAAGAGAGGTCTCTCCAAAATAAAAATTTGAGCGAACACCTAAAAACTGGCCCTGCTCTATGGGAACTAGATGAACAATTTTGAAAAGGAACTTAAAAAGCTCAATCAATCAAGTCATTTTCATTTTTCTCAAATACATCACTGGATTCATGACGACGGTGATCGAGCTTTGCATCACCTGGGCCAAGATGACACCATAGAATTGGAAAATGGACATTAACTCATGCAAAGGGGCAATCACAAATTAAGTTTGAATTGATCTTGATAGAACAGTATCTCATTTAAGTAGAAGATGTTCACCCATTGTGCCTCTTAGCCACTTGAATGAAAGAATAAAAAATGCACACGTGCCCATACTATTCCACTTGCTTAGAAGTCGTTTCTTATGAACACAACAAATCAATTGTGATGAAGGCAATGGAGTTGGGACGAGCTGGAGGAGACATTTTAAGGGATTAAGGAGATGATTTAAGATAAAATGACAAAGATAATGAAATCAACACAGTACAAAAACCTTATATTGAAGGCAAAGGAATCACAACTGGCAAAGGCAGGGCAATAAATTTATTGAACATAAAAAAATGTACATTTAATAAAAGATAGGCATACCAACCTAGGAACTAAAATGAAAAAAGATTTTAAAAAAAAAGACAAGAATTTATTACTTGAGGTCCATAAAAAAAGAACCCACATAGGGTTCAAAATAATCCCCTCTAAAAGATGGACTAACTGAATGACCCTTTGAAATAGGAATTCACCTCCGATCTTGAATTGATTTAGGTGAGCAAACTTGACCTATTCCTGAGACCTCAGGGATCTCTCATTCACATCTATCGACTCATTATGCAGATCCACCATAATCTCATTTTGATCACCAATTTCTTCCTTTAGATTGTCTTGTCAGACTACTTGGTTGGCCACTTTTATGGTAGAAGTGACAGTGGCAACAAAAACCAAGCCACCCCTGACCCTCTCAAAATGATAATGAGGTGTTTCCCCATGATCCCCTGCAACATTTCTCTCCTCGACTATGATATCCTACTCCATAGATAGGGAGCCTTCATTATGACCCATTTGGTCGACTACATCAACATCTTTACCTGCCACTCACTAGAAGTCCTCGTCACAAACTAGTTGGTCGAATCATGTATCTTATTCTTGTCTCCCTCCAAGTAAGCATTCAAAATCTCCTTCAGATTCTGTTGGATTGAGCTCTCTATGTACAAGTCAGTATCGCAAAGTTCACGAACAATACAATAATTTACAATCAAGATAGGGAAAAACCAGCATATGATCTACTAAGATAGAAAAAAATTAATAATATTTTAATATACATGTTGAATTACACTGAGCAAAAATTTTTAAAACTATCAGGACAACGCTCCAATTACCCTCTACTCATAATAAAATTGGCCCCATGTAGCTAAGACGGTCTTCTCTCAGAGTGGGGCCTCAGTCAAATCAACCATTTGAGGTTTTACCCATGGAGCCACTGCCATCTCGGGAGTGCCTTTTGGAGTTTTCTTTGCTGACATCTCCTTTTCACCCCCTCTGCACTTCCTCTTACTAAATATGCTATGTAGAAACTCTTTGTTTGATATTTCTATGTGTGGCTGAGTAAGGCCCGCCACAGCTAGGTGCACGCACAGGGAGCAACGATATCTAGGAAGAAATTAGAAGATTTTGAAGCCAACAAGCTCAAGAGATGCCTCATCATTCTATTTAACGTCTCATAGTTATATTTATAAGAGCTGAAGGTCCAAGATCCAAGGAAGTACTCTCAATATCAACATTAACTAAAAGTGATGATAGATTACCATTTTAATTCTTCTGTTCTTATCGCAACATAGCTTCCTAAGATGTAAGAAAAATTTAGAATAAATATAACCATAAGTGATTACTAGGACCGAGGAAGGGTTTGGTAGTACTCGGCCCATCCTTAAGTATAAGCCAGCCAGATAAGTGAGGCAAATTCAAAGTCGTACAATGAAGAGGCCGACTTAAAATATCAAAACTTCATACATAAGAAAACTAAGAAACCCATGGGTTAAAGGATAATCTCCCAACCATGAAAGACCTAGTATGAGAATCATCGAAGGTAATAACCTCCTTGTTCACCAAAGATTCAACCAAAAGTTCTTTCCAAAACCTCGATTTTAGATGGGATATTACTAATAAGAGAACCATACATGTTTAAAGGTCTAGAAATGATCCGAGGCTAAATATTTCATTTGATGAAGACAAATCTCTATAAATAGAGGATATTAATTTCATAAGGTTGGACAACCACGTACAACACCATCTTTGGCAGACCAGCCAACAAGCAATTTAACCTGAAAACTTCCAACCATGTTGGAAGATTACTAAAATGGTCAGTAGAACTGAGTGTGTTCAATATTTCTTATATTCCAATAACAATGAACAAAGTCCAGGTGGTTGCTGACTTCTTAGATTATTTCTCAGAAGGGCTAATCCAACATGAAACCAACATTGCAATAGGATCTTGATTTTGCTTCTAGCTTACCTTTCATTTGAGCTAAGGAAATCCCCCTTCTGATCTCCCTTATCCTGCTCATTATTGTGTAAACTTAATTATTCATCTCTCTCTCTCTTTCTCTCTCTCTACCCTTTGTTCTCTCTACTTCTTGACGTACTATCCATTGGGCCTGATTCAAGGACAAATAAGGGTGGGTCAACATGGTCTTAGATATGTAATAAAAGCAAATGCTCTCTCTACCACGTTGTGTAGGGCTTGTGGGGAAGGATACCACACGATAGCTGCATTCAGCATTCACGAATAAGGAATTGCAGAGACAAATTCATGAAGAAAAAAATGACAAATTTAAATTTAAAGGTGAAATGGATGTAATTGACTACTAATTTTGAGATGTTAGTTTTGATCATTACAAAAGTAAATAATAAATTTTGAGTATTAGAAATGTAAATAAAGAGATTTTAGATGCTCTACTTGTAAATCCCCCTTTTCAAAACGAGTAAAAATGGTTTTTCATTTTGACACACCCAAACACACACACCATATATGTAAACCTTTTAGCTCAACTCCTCTTAATTGAAAGACAAAACTCTTAATCATTACACCATGGTGGTACGCATAATAATAACACTAATCTGCACCCTTAATGTAACGGGGGTAATAAATACTTAACATTCATTTATCAATGCATTACCGCCCAATTCTTATGTATTTACATATCTAACACCAAAACTCTATATTTTATTTATTTATATTTTCTTACAAATTTTAAATGTTGATTAGAATCCATTTATGTTATTTAACATATGTCTAACTTTTGGCATTGAATTAAATTGAATTAACCAATAGAGCCTAGTTGAAACTTAAACGACAGATATACGGCAATCTTGTGAGTGTAAAGACTTCTGCGAGTACATTGCGTAGAACGTTGACGAGAAGAAAACGGCTCACAAACAATAAGTACTGAATCTATGTTAAATGGCCTAAAAGTGGTCTAATTATTAGGTGCAGAGGGCGCACGCAGAGCTACATGCCGCACGCGATAATCGCTCCTAAAAGTGAGCTCATAACTTGACAAGCTTATCTACTAAAGATTTATTTGGAACTAATATTACGCACACAATAATCGCTCCTAAAAGTGAGCTCATAACTTAACGAGCTTATCTACTAAAGATTTATTTGGAACTAATATTTTTTACTTTTTTAGTTTAGAAATATTTTTATTTAGAGTATTTCTAATTTTTAAACTTAAATCAACTTATTTAAAAAACATTCAAATTATTTTTAAACTATTTTAAATATTTTTAAAATTATTAAATATATTTTATGCCAAATAAATTATTTCAAATCAATATAAATCAAATAATAAAAAATAAGAAATAAAAACAAAAATGATCAAAAACAGCCCCTAAGAAACTCAAATATTGTGCACGATCAAACATACATATATTTATATGGATAAATACAAATATGTGCGTCAATATTACTGAGTTAAGCCAAAAACACAGTAGATCTTGCTCAAACTAAACTTGCTAACACCCTCTAATACCTCCAATTAGGCTAACTGTTTATTTAGCAGTTAGCCTTATTGGAGGTATCTGACACTCATAAGAAACAGTTGACCAAACAAATAAAATCCAACACTTAAGCAACCAGAATCACTTCACCATATTTGCACAGCATAAAAAAGACTAAATATATTTCAGGTCAACTCCACAAACCATGCATCCGGAAGAAAATTAATGTAAATTGATTTTATTTATGGGAGCATTAAAAAAACAAGTGAAGAAGGAAGGAAGATTCATATCATTGGCCCTGAATAACAGAGATGATGATAAGAGCATAAGCTAAGAACGATGAAAGCCTGTGGAAATCAAACTTGAAAGAGAATTGGCAGTTCTTTCTTTTTCCATCTTAAGCAAATAAGTCAAAAAAAGCAAAGGACAGAGAAGCTCCAGAGAGCAAGCGCTAGGAAAATATGCTTTAGATAATACACGAGAAACCAATGCACAAACAAATTAGCTCCACCTCTGTGAAACCATGTTCCCGTAAAATGGAGAACTTAGGCAAGATATCGGTACAACTTCCGGTCTGTCTTATCCCTCTCCAAAAACTCCCTCTCGATGAGTGATTCGATCCGTTTCTTGATCACGACGGGATTGGGAAGGAACCTCGACTGCAGCTGCTTTGTCACCTCCGCCACAATATTGTTGTGATCCAGAACTCGTCTGGACTTCATTATCCTCACAATGGCGGCCTCGATCTGCGGCTTCCTGTCCTCCTCCACCCTCTGGCGAGTCTCCTGTTTCTCGGGCTCCGACTCCTTCTGTGCCACCACCGTGCCAATCTTCACCTTGAAGAACTTGCTGGAAAACTTATCATTCACCATGAAAGTATCATCCTCAGCAATGTCTTTGCTCATGGGATCCTTACTGAGTACATTCTTACCCTTCACACACGCTAAAGATTGAAGACAGCGTTTCAGATCAGAAGCTGGGATCTCAGTGGCCTGCTCGATTTCTTTATAAGTCAATCGATCTGAACAATTGAATAACATCAAAATGCACATCTGATAGGTAGAGACGTTAAGCTCATGCTTCTGATTCTTGCCAAAGGTTGCTTTCAGATCAGCAGTGCCCATGTTAGTTTGCCATGTTAACCTCCTTCCTGTGTGAGTGCCCAAATAAAAAGTTCGGAACCTCTCGCAAACACCCAGAATCTCAGGTGGAAGGTTGCACGGAGCGATAGGTTGGGTTGGCCAAGATCCGGTTGTGAGAACTTGGACGGCTAGGCTTGGCCCATCTTGAGAATCAGAAGCTGACTGAGTTGCATAAAAACCCTGCATTGTGTCCTGGGAGGTCTTCATATCTGTAAACATTCCTTCTAATTTGGAAGTAAACTGATAACCACACTCTGTTTTAAGCTTAACAATCAGACTTCTCTCAGCATCATCAGAAACAGTTTTCCCAGAAAGGAGCCGCTTGGCCAAGTGTTGCTTGTAATATTTTTCAAAGACATCTTTCTCTTGAAGATAACGGAATAGCATCATGACTTTATCGAGGACAATCTCCACATCCTCTTCGCTGACCCCTTTCAGGCCTTTCCGGAGCTTGTCATCAACATACAGTGAAATGAACTCAGGAGATCTGTTATTCAAATTGATGAAATACTCAAAGGAGGAGTTGAGAGCATTTTGGAAAGTTTTGTCATTGTTAAATGCATCACTTATGATCTTGTCATGCTTGTCTTTCTCATTGAGAAGCCGCTGAACAAAGTCGACAGGATCCCTCAGTTTATCTGGATCAGTGACTAATTGCTTTCCAGTTTCTCGGAGATGCAAGGTCATCACTTCTCTAATTGTTGAGAGACCTTCGGGGACTCGACGGAACAAGTTGTACATTCTACTAAGATCGTCATACTTGTCATCCACAAGCATGTTTACAAGACCAGAGTTGTCCATGTGGACTAATCTCTGCATGTGATTTGCAATCATCTCAGTCTCAACCACATGAGTTATTTTTGTTTCAGTTTTTGCATCGAGATATTGAGAAACTCTCTCCATCTCTTCATTAAGCCGTCGCTCAGCTTTGTTCAGATATTCACCACAATCACAACATTCAATGAACTGTTGAGATTCGCCGCTGTAAAAACTAGCAGAAACTTCTAGAAAAGGCTTCTCGAAATCTTCTTGATAAACAGAAGAACCAAGATCCATTAACATTTTTGTTATATTTCTCATCAACCCACGGTTTATTACCTCGCCAGTTCGCTCTTTCTGAATGAGTTCAAGAAGTGTGCTGACCAACCTACTTTGGATCTTGCTGGAACGAATGATATTCTCTCTCCATAGATTCAATCCGAGCTCATGAACAGGTGTTTTATGAGAGCTAGGAACAAAGGTCCTATCCATGTACATCAAAATGTCTCGGATCATCTGCAACGCCTTGTTGTGATCGGCCCATTTTCTGTTAAGCTCTTCAAGAAAGAGACCGCCCTGAGCAGCCTCAATAGATTTTGACATTTCCTTTAGGTGCCATGTCATTGTAGTCACAAGGCCTGCGTACAGTTTTTCGCCATACTTGTGCAGCACCATATTGTAAGCATTCCTGAAATCAGGTAGGGTCAGCATAGAAATGTGTAATGATAGAAACATATCTGACAATATACATACCAATACATTATAAACAAACCCTTTTGTAGTTCATTAGTACAAGTACCACATAACTTTTAGCCATACAATTTGACTTGGAACCATGATTTGAGAATTGAGATCTAACTGTGTGAGAAGCGAGAATCATACCACAACATACCATATAACTTAGATTACCGTATGTAATGATTGGATTCAGATCTTTTAGGCAAGATCAAATCCGATGAGTTCTAATCATTCAAACTACTGATGACTACATGTCATTTTTCTTTATTCTCTCTACAACAGAATCATAAGGCGGGCCAGACCATTAAACTTTTTGAAACTAGACAGTATGTTTTAGCACTCTTTGTTAAGCTTACCAATGATCACTGCAAGGGGAACCTACCAGAAGAATTGAGCTCATACTTTATGATAGGAAATGAGCATTATTTGATGCATGGGTTATTCTTACTGAAGCTTGGGACAGGAACAATGTGCTTATGGAAGCCGTGTATCAAAAAGGAAAACCAATACTATAAAAGGCAATGTTAGGCTTAATCATAACACCCAAATATCAATTCATTTCTAGACCCATAGAAACCAGGACACAAACAAAATAATAAATAGCCATGATCCTATCACAAACATTTTTCTTCCTTCTGTTTAGGCATTGGCCCTCTTCGTGTCTACCAATTTGTTGGTTGTTCAATTGGGACTTCACATCTAAACAGTATTAACTGCAACTCAGCACTTTCACTAAGTCCATTTTTTTTTATTTTATCAATTAAAAACAATACATGATAATTCACCTCCCTTCAACGAGCAATTTTTATTTTTAATAAGAAAGCAATAGATGAGACCAATTTCAGACAATCTAGATTGGTTTGAACTCTTAAAGAATTTTAATAAGAGCAGGCCAAGTATTCTATTTTCGGTTCTATTTTTAACCAAAAATTGCTTGATCATTCAATTAAAAAAATTTTAAAAAAGAATTAGTTCTATAATAAGTGCTAAAGTAACAAAACCAAAACTAACTTGTAATCTCACTGCTAAAAAGTTCGAAGATCACAACTTTGCAATGAGTCAAAAGATGTCAATTTACCCTATTTCAATGTCAACGCCAAAAATGTATTCACAGTTGCTAAGCCATTTTATAGTATAAAGCAAATCAATATTGACAATTAATATAGATTATATGTAATATCAATAATACTTTTATAAAATAAAGCCTGGATTTAAATAAGACCAAAGGTTTAACTTAAAAATCAAACAAACTTTTATTTTAGAACATTTTCTGCTGGAATCTAATTCAACAAGTTGGCTCAAACTAAAGAAGGATTGAGTTGACCATGAATGCAATTGAACTTGTCTTGGGAATGGATTAAAGTTAATCGAGATTGGATGGAAATTCATAATCACGAGTAAATATATCATATCATATGATAGATAACAATAAATTTCATCCAGATTCAATAATACTTATTGAGTTGAGAATGAGAATGAGATCCCATTCACAATTAGGTATAGTGGATCACCTAAGAAAGAAAAAGAAAAAGAAAGAAGAATCATACCATCTATATTTTTATTGCTAACCACGGTAAACTTGAGTGCTCAAGTTCATTAAAAATAAATATTAGCTCCAGAAATTATCACACAAAAAGGTATAGATTAACTCAACCAAAGAAAAGATGGTACATAAAATGATATACTCAGTGCATTTTCTCCTACTTATCCGGTCCTCCAAAAATATGTGAAACCTACTCCAATGCAAAGTTATACATAACATATTTCAGTAACAAATAATTATTAACTGTATGAATTAAGATCATTTTACTAGTCATCAAATAGTAAGATAAAAAAATGAGGATGCCAGTAGTCAAGAAAATGAGAAAAGATGAATAATTTAAAAAAAAAAATCTTCATACTTCTAGAAAATACAATGAAAAAGAAAAAGAGCAAAAGCTCACTAATTGTTAATAGCAGGGATTGCAATCACTACAGAATCGAAACACAACCAAACAGGAGAACTATTACATCTTGTTTCTTATACAATTCCATCAATTATTTGGTCTTTCCAAATAGAACATGGCAATCACAAATAAATAAAGAAAAAAAAAACAAGAAAAAGGGCAAATGACTCTTAAAAACTTACCTTTTATGCATTGAAATCGATTCTGCAGGAGACGGTACGAAAAGAAGGGAAGCCTTATCCAAGAACAAAAAAATGATCACCTTGATTAAAATTAAATTGCCAGAGATTTTATGCTTCATCCAATTCTAACCTCACAATAGCACAAGAACCTCCTAATGTTTTGAGAAACTCATCCCCCTAAAGCTCAAAAAATGATATTTCCGTTACATGGACAATAATAAAGGAGGCTAGTTTTGAAAGGGGGCAAAAAGATTCAGTGTGTGATTTAAGAAGCGTATTATAGATTGAGAAGGTAATTTAGAAGAAATTTCTATCAATGTCAATTCACTTTTTTTAAGTTGTTTCCAATATATTCAGACTCTGTTAAAACTAAGAAAAATAAATGTCCAGTGCCTTTTTTATAGATTTAAATCACTAAAATTAAATATAGCAATTTCGTATTTAGATATCTAAGAGTTTATACTTTATATTCTGCTTCATTTAAATTGTCATTGTGTGGTAGGATGTGTTGCTATAGAGTTCCTAAAGTAGATCCAACCTGCAACGTAGCCCACAATACAACAAACATAAAATTCCAAAAGACACGAGCAATTTATATTAAACAAACATTCAAAACTTACAAGGACAAAAAAAGTTAAAATCCAATTCCACTGAAATATTTAAGACACGTAAGTAATTAAACAATAGAACTTATGAAAGAACATAGACGAAAGAAAAATAGAATGCAGCAAATTTGATAACATACAATCTCTCATTCAATTAATAATAAGAAAAAGAAAAATAAGTCACACAAAAATTAAACCACAAAATATTTAAGACCTGTAAGTAATTAAACAATAAAACTTATCAGGAACACAGATGAAAGAAAACTAGAATGCTGCAAATTTGATAACATACAATCTCTCGTTCAATTAATAATAAAAATAAAAAGAAGAGGAACAAAAAAAAAGAAAAATAAGTCACACAAAATTAAACCTCAACTTGTGTCTAGGTCAAGCACAAGTAGCTCTATACATCCACCAAAAGGTTACATGAACCATGAATTGGCCAACGTAAGAGATTATCAGCCTAAAATGAAAGATCAATTGAAACCTCTCATAGTATTTTTGTGCGTTATAAGCATACTTAAAAATCTATCTAAACAATCACTCGAATATAAAATAAGTTCCTGACAGACACCTAATTAAAATCCTAATATAACATAACAAAGAAAATAAAAAAAATCTAAATGCAAAAAAAATACATTGCACTACATTTCAAATTTTCCATGATAATTGTGAGATCTGATCCTTTCATCAGTTCTTGGTAAGCTTGAACAATTTCAGTTTCAGCAAATTATTTAGCATTCATTAAATAAATTTAGGCATAATTAACAAAGTTACTATGGAAATGTCCATGACTTATCACACATATAGATCTATCTCCTCTACACACCATCAATAATCGACAAGATGCCATGACCAACTATAGCTTCAAATATAAGTAGGACAATTTGAAAATTTTGTAGATGATGTATTGGAAGTAAAATTGGAAGGAGATAAAAATAGAGAAGAATCCAACGCCTTGATATATATATATATATATATATACATAGTTTCGGAAGGATTTCTAGTTTGAAAATTTTTACTCGGCATAATATTGAAGGTTGCTTACTTGCTTGGCAATCTTGTGGTTCATCGGTCACAACAATGCATCTCCATTCCTTATATAACTTTGTGGTTTATTTGGTGTGTTAAAGCAATGTGAAACATGAGCTCTCTTCCTCTTCCCCTCTCTCCACTATTTCTTACAATCTTGCCTACCATGCAAAGGCTACTAAACATATACGACAGCCTAAGGAGGGTTGGAGGCCATATTTAATATATTGGCAGCCCCCTCACCCCGGCTGGATCAATATAAATGTTAATGGAAGTTGGAAAATTTGCACGGCCGGTGTTGGGGCCTTTTTCAGAAATCATTTGGGCAAGTGTCTCTTCTATTTTTCTTCTGTTGTCTGGGATTTAACTCCTACTGAAGCGGAGGGTTGGGCAGTATTACTGGCTCTAAATGTTGTTGTAACTTTTAATTGGCCTACAATTTTTATTGAATCGGATTCTTCTGTTCTTCTGGATTTCATCACTAGAAAACAAGAGCATCTTGGAATTTAATTATTTGTCTTAATAAGATTTGGAAATTTATAGCTTCTCATGACCTTCAGGTCATATAGAATTTTATATACAGAGATGGAAATGCACCAGCGGATTTGTTAGCTAAACGTGGTTTTTCGGGTGTCTTTACTGGTTTAGTGCCTCCCAAAGAGCTTAATATACTTTTAAGTGGAGACTCTTTGAATCTACCTTATGTCAGATATTCACCATGATATGGCTTACGGTTTCCTTTCATCCCTAAAGGTCTTCAGTTTCTTGATTTGGGGGAGGATCTTATGCTCCATTAATCCTCATCTCTTTGTAGTTCTGCTACTCCTGCCGAGGAATAGCCTCTTTTAGATGATTACTTTAACTTTTGCTATATCGTATTTCTCTCATTTTATTTACTTTTCTTCCTATTTCGCTATAGTTTCTTTCTTTAATCTGTTTTTTGGGTATACATGTAACTATCTTTTGGAACTATTGGGTGCATTGTATATCAAGGGAAAGATCCTACTTTCTGGATTTTTCCAAACCCATTGTGTTGTCCTCCCTTTTCTTATTCTATAATATATATATATATATATATATATATATGGTCGGAGTCGTCTGCTTCGTCAAGGCTCTGCTAGGGTTTTGCCATGAGGCGAAACCCTAGCCTCTGCTACCTGTATTCCACACTCGTAGAAGAAGGGG